ACAAAGACGGCTCCTTTTTCTTGAGCTGTTCATCCCATGCCTCCTGCAGGGCATTGCCCGTGGCTCTGGTGGTATCGCGACTGCGGAGATTCCAGAGGTCATCTTGAGTCAAGTAGTTCTTGTATCCATATTTCATCATCGGTGTCATCCAACCAAAGGTAAGAACCGAGAAAATATCTGCATAATTGTAGGGGCACTCATCCTCATCTCCCAGCGCATCGTATGCGCTTTGCTTCTTGGGTACGAAATATTCGAGCACAAATTCAAAGAGTGCCAGTCCCAAGCTAATATTGAAGCAGACAAAGTAAGGGAGTTGGTCGATGTATTCTTTGCGCGCAATCAGGGACCGGAGTTTGACCGCGTAGGCGATGATGAAGAAAAGCCAGTAAAATAGGACGACCCCATTGGGTTGTCTACTCCGCCAATGTTCAAAATATTGCACTGAAGTTATCACCCCCAGCGAGATGATGGTCAAGATGGAGGACCAGAAGCGAAAATCGGCCCAGAAGATTTTGGGTTCTGATTCGACTTGGATCGCAGCTTGAAGGGCGGTAACAATGATGAGAGCGGCAAGAACAGCCTAGGATGACAAAAACACCAGTCAGTAAATTAACGTCCACAAGTGTGCGCGCATGTCCGATATGTACTAACCAACTTGGTGTAGAAGTGCCAATTCTTCGATACGGGCTGCGGAACCCGCTTCCACAATAACAACCACAACGCAGCTAGTCCACTCAGCGTACCCCAAACTGCCACTATCGCCACAATCACGTCAAGAAAGCATGGTGTCAGGTCGAATCTCAATGAGCTGAGCGGGCCCCAGCCCTCGCTATCTGTGCAGAAAGGCTGTCGCCGCGAATCAAGTGCCGATCCAAGGGAATGCAAGAGATGCCCCGGGCGGGACGCCTCTAGGACCGCCTGGGATTGGCCATCCAGCATTTTTTCTTAGTGACTCGGTATGCCTTTCTATGCACAAGCAAGAAAAGATACAAAGTTGGAGAACTAGAAGAAAACGGGGGTGTTGGTCCAAGCTAGGCTGCTTACAAAAGCAAGAACGGGCAGCGCTCCACTTCAGAATGGGGAAAATCGGGGCTGGTTACCGTGCGCATTAGAGCCTATGGAGTCGAACTCATGGATTACACCGTAATGTACAGTCCTTGCATGAAACTTGCGTAACATAAAATTGACTACTCCGTATATCTTCCTAGACACTTCATTCCTGGATACAAATTTTGCAGACCTCACACGTGACCTGGAATGATGTAATCCTCGGGGATAAGCGCACTAATACCGATGCGGCTATTTCGGCTTATCGGGGTTGTATTCCAACTTCGGAAGGTGTGATGGCTTCAAGGACTGTTTACAGCATATAAAGCTGGTCGCTAATTAAAATCATCAAACTTGATGTGTTTATTGTATATTTTATACTAATGGTTTCGTCTCCTTTCTTCGACAAATAACCAATTTTCGAAATATGATAGCACAATATATTTCCTCATTGATGCTATATCAAAACTGCAGAATTCAAGCTTTTTCCTGGGTAAATTCCTCAATGACCTTTGTTATCTCTTCATTCCCCGAGGTACGTGCATACTCAGCTGCACTGCCCCAGTTCCCTCTTATATATGGATCTGCCCCATGCTCCAACAACCACTTGACCCGCTCAACTGCTCCTGCCATCACCGCATATACAATCGCATACTGCGCGACCATGTGTCGTGACTCTTCTCTCTGATTTACATCAGCCCCGCGACCAACCAGTAGTGCCATCACTGGAATTCTGCTAGTATCAAATTCACGGCTTGGTACCACTTTCCCAGCATGGGGATTCGTACCGGGAGGACAAGCCCCGGCGGCGTAGTGTAGTGGTACACCGTTTTGGATGTTAGCACCCGCATCTAGAATCATACGCACAGCCTCAACTCCTCCAGTACCTGCAGCTGCCTCAAGTGCAGCACACGAGGAAGTATCTGGCCCACCACACCTGTCATGGGTGGTCTGCTGCACACCATGGTTGGGATTGGCTCCGTGGTCGAGGAACCAACGAAGAAGAGGGGTGTTCTTGATAATTCGAGGAAGCAGGACACTACCATAGTAGCCTGGTGTATTGGGAGTCCATCCATACTGGGTAAAGAGCTCAAAGAGGGCAATTTGCTGTTCCAAAGGTACAAAGAAGATATTGCTTGGAGTTTCGCGAACTATTGGTGCGCCACTATCTAAGAGATAGCGAGCAATCTCAATATTTCCGGAGCGTAGGGCACGTGTAAGACCATGATGGAGAAAAGCAGGTGTGAGATTCTTGGATGAGACAATGGACTGAATGGTGGAGAGGGTGCCGTGCTGGCAGGCGGATTCAAAAGATCCGAAGAAGGCGGGAACTAGACCAGTCGACTTAGGATCTTCAGAAATAAAGATAACATCAGTGGGCTCCAGTATGGGTAGGTCATCATATTTGGACCCCATTGTCCCTGACCGAGGCTGCATTTGCTGCTGTAGAGGATTGTCACTGTTGCGGCCGGTGCTTGGTTGTTGCTTAGCAGCCATCATCTGCATCTGACGTTGGCGTGCATTTAGCATTAGCTGCTGTTGACGCTGCTGTTGTGAAAACATGTTTCCCACAGAGATGGTAAATTCTCGTTTCTGTATATTGGATTTTGTCTAAGATGAGAGCTTGACGAGGGCGGCTGTTTGCCAAAGAGACGCATGGGCCTTGTGATGTTAGTCATGTGATGAACGGTTTTGAATATGCGTCGAGACCCGAGACAAACATCAAGCGGCTAACTGGGCGATGTACGTGTCTTGAGAATTAACACACTAATAGGCGTTGCTCAATTCAAACTTCAGTCTAAATCAATTGACCCTATTACACTAAATTCGCAGTCAGTTGATGAACATGCTTGTCAGCTTTATTCTACTCCGTATTCGAGGTCATCCTTAGGACCAAGATCTTACCAGGAAGACAGGCCTACGAATGAGACAGAGACCCTTCTTTCCTGATTCCAATAATACACCCTTAAATTCGATGAACTGTTTATAACCCAAAGTGTAGAGCCTATTAGCTTCTAAGTGATAGAAAGTGGGTGCTTTATAACAATGATCACAATCCTATTGTATCTAAGCCCAAGCAAACAAACTTTATTGTCATTGTCTTCAATAGGAACTCTGCATATAGCTCTTTCAACACAATAGCCTAGTCCCCAATAATTACCACCTTGGGTATCAGTGACATGAGATGCACACCTTTCTCTACTCTGCCACTCCTTCTGTCAGAACCGAAGATATTCAATGCAAAATTCACATTGCTCGAAAAGTAATAGCAAAACCATTGCTTCATTATCGAGTGAGATCTCATCAGCAAGTACCAACACTGGGAATATTGCTTCCGCCACAATACCACTACCTACCTAGCTTGGGTAGCAAGTCCACAGGTTTCTCTGTCTTAGCTTTACGATATTGCTGCAGTCGAGGAATGCTATACACCACTACGGTGGGTGAGAAACATCCTCTATCCAAAACTCAGATGCAGCAACATCGTCCTGCCTGGACGTGCCGTTGGAGTTCGTTTCAGATGGCATCGATACGGATGATGCTGAAGCCATTAGCTTCTGACACCAATTCCAATGTTTCAACAACAACCTGCTTACCTTCAACTACCGCTACCACTATTGAATACTCTGTCGCTGGGTCAACAACCACATTTTCCAGTACCTCGACAGGTGATACTCCAGTACCATGTCCTCCCGATACTTGCGAAAAGTTGAGCTCTATGAGAATAAGCCTTCTGGGTAGTGCTAGCATGGGAGTGGCGGCCATGATCGAGCATTGTGAGTCGATCCCAACGGATATTACCACTATTCTACCAGCCGAGGGTTGTGAGATTGCTCCAACTAGTGGAGCTGCAAGTCCGACACAGCCTGTCTCCAAGACAACTCTCTCTAGCAGCCAAGGTGAGAGAATGATGATCAGTTCGTTGATTGCATATGCTTTCCAGGGCGCTTCTCCTCCTTACAGCAGCTATGTCAAGAGCTTGGCGCCAATTTGGATTGACCAGCCTGGACCAGCGTCTGCACAATGGTTTAACTATCCATCAATTGGTCACTCGGCTGTAGGAGTAAAGGGCATTTACGGATGTACAGTGGTGATTATAGCATCCGAAAAGGGTGTGTACCTTTCGCACATTTGGGAAAGCCCTGTGTTCGTTGACCTAGCTTTCAATCCAACCGACGACGACTTTTTCACGATGAATGCATTCAATTCCCTCCGAGATGGGACATTATATGCACAATGCATAACTGGTCTGATTGGGACCGACCATAAACCCGGCGTCTTGAATGCAATCTACGCGCCCAAAGTCTTCGTCCTCACACCCTTCACTACAGATTGGGACCGACAGTACTTTGGCATTTCCACCAAACTCAGATATCAAAAACGTGCCCAAGAGCTCGCACAAAAGATAGCAAATATTGTTCCTGGTTCCGGTGGGAATGGAATAATCTTGGGCTATACACGTACGAGTCGACAGGCATCAAGCCAGGAGCAAGGTATTGCAGGAAGAGCCATCTTGGAGATAGACCCTTCTTACACAAGACTCACTTCAATCCACGACTCGAGTTCTGCGGGCCTGCAAATTGGTCGTTGGCGTCTGTGGGTAGAGAATCAGTTGATTACTTACCAAGACTTTTGGCTTCCTCATATCACAACTCCTAGAGACATTTCCCGATATGACATTGGCCAAGAGACGTTGGTCATACCAACCCGTGTAGGAGCTACTCTTAGGTATTGCTGATGTTATCCATGGGTTTTCAGTGCCTAGATCATGACTTCGTCACGTCTCCAATTTCAATCCGCTTTCCACCATGCATCCCATCTTGAGGTCTCCGTTTAGACTCCTATCACCGGAGACTCACCGTTCTTAATACCCCGGCCCTAGTAACTCTGGTATTCAAGGAGTGTGACTAGTTTTCGAAACTTACTGAAGTGAAGTGAAGCTTAGGTATCTTTCACCTCACACCATTCTCGCAATAGGGGGGTCCCAAGGGCGCCCCCCATTCATAGGATTGGCCAATCTGTGCATTGGCCCAACACCCATATTCCTTGAGCATGAAATTCGAGAGATATGCAATATCCGCTGCATCCTTCAGCTCTAGGCGAGAGTAGCGGATTGCCCGTCCGCACTCGTCAACAAACACCACAAGAACCTTCCCTGCGTCGGGGCCCTCGGAAGCAAGCGCTATTTTATCGACGATGTGGATGCGGTTTATGACTAGCTGTATGTGGTAGTCTGAATAAAACAGGGTCCACGGGTTTTCGTTGGCTATCAGTCGATAGCGACGAGTCATCTTGCCATTTTCCCTTGAATGTTGTTGAAATATGCATGTACCATAACACGCAGAGAGAATTTACCAAAAGGAACAAATCGGCCTGCGAAGCATGTAAATCGGAAATCCTACAGAACGGGCGAAAAAACGGTGATGGACTGAATTTGTGTACTAATAAGGCTAATAGGCCATTGATCGAGGTGATTCTGAAACGGCATTCGAAAATCACGTGATGATGACAGGTACTAGAAAAGAAAAGATTGCATAACATAGATTGAGATAAATTAGAGAAAAGAATCAGAATCATCGGCATAAATCATGCCCTACAAAGGTATCAAACATAATACCGAGGATATAACTATGTCCATGTGTTTGATTTCCTAATCGGGAGGCCGACTCGTTAATATCTGCGAGCACAGCCCACAAGCCTGGAATTAATATGGAAAATGAACGCTCTCAGGGACCTAAATGAGGCTGAGCAAAGCTCCACAATATGACTCAAAATCATTGCAGATCCAGCATCTTTTCATAAAAGCGAGCGAAGCGCATAGAGTCCACATAGTACTGCATTGCTCCTAGGCGGTAAGAGCCCACTTAACAGCGTCATTGGAGGGGCACCACGATCTCAATACACATTCTCCGTCCAGCCTATCATGGTCGATACGACTCAAATGGAGGAGCTCCTGAAAAGGCCTCTTTATGGTACGCCTCCGAAGCCCTATATGGTCGTTGATTCATTTCGCTGATCTTTCCAGTCTACGATCTGCCGCCAGAACTTCTTGCAAGCTTAACGGCCAAGACCAGTCAACCTGTCGCCGAACAAGAACCCGAACCCTCTCCGATAGACCTCGAACTAGCTGCACAGGACTCTGCGATCGCAACCTCCAACCTATGCTCCCTCTGCAGGGTCTCTTACAACAGTGTACAGGAACAGCGCAGCCATGTCCGCTCGGACCATCACCGGTATAACATCAAAGCCCAGCTGCGCGGGAATGCGCCTCTGGAAGAGATCGAATTCGCGAAGGCGATTGGAGAGCTAGACGAGTCTATATCTGGTTCTGAGTCTTCGGAGACAGAGGAGGATGATGCAGAGGGGGCCGCGGGCACAACGCTGTCCGCCTTGCTGAAGAAGCAGGCCAAGCTGTCTCACCCGAACGAGGATCCGGAAGCGACTGAGACACCAGTCGCTCCGAAGCACCCCATATTCTGGCTGTCTAGCTCGGGATTACCATCAAACAAGTCCCTAGGCGTCTACAGGGCCATTTTCTCAAATGCCGAGCAGGACGAGCCCGCCCACCTAGTTGATACTCTCCGACGAAAGCAGCTTGCGCCAGTCAAAGCGCGCGCCAATAAAGCAAGCAACGTCCAAGACTCCGCTGCTTCGGGCCCGCATATTTTCATGTGCATGATCGGCGGTGGCCATTTCGCGGCTATGCTGGTTTCGCTGGCACCGGAGATTCACCGAAAGCAAGGAGGAGTTGAAGACAGGCAGGCTCGGGTCATTGCGCACAAAACGTTCCACCGATACACGACGCGGCGAAAGCAGGGTGGCTCACAGTCTGCCAGTGATGCGTCGGGCCGTGCTGCCCATTCGGCAGGTTCAAGTCTGCGCCGGTATAACGAGGCTGCACTTGAGAAGGATATCAGAGATGTATTGTCGGAGTGGAAAGAGATGATTGACACGGCCGAGCTGTTGTTCGTCCGAGCTACCGGAAAGACAAATCGCAAGACTCTTTTCGGTCAATATGACGGACAGGTCCTCAGGCAGAACGACCCCCGATTACGAGGGTTCCCGTTCAATACCCGCCGAGCGACTCAAGGGGAACTCATGCGGTCCTTCAAGGAGTTGACTAGAATGAAGGTCAGCGAGGTGGACGAAGCCGCACTGGCTGCGGCTGAAGCCAAGCGGCGAGAGCAGGAGTCAAAATCATCTACACCCGTCCAAAAACCGCAACCACAGAAGCCGAAGCTCTCGAAAGAAGAGGAAGCTGCCTTGTTGCACACATCCCAACTGCAGGCGCTCATTCGCCGCTCAAAGGTTCCCGCCCTCATGTCCTATATCTCAAACAACTCTATACCTTCTTCTTTCACCTTTACGCCCGCCGACTCGCCACAAAACTTCCGCTGCCCTACACTCCTCCATCTCGCCGCAAACCTCAACGCACCAGCCGTAGTCACGGCCCTCCTCACAAAAGCCGGGTCTGATCCAACAGCAGTCAACAACGAAGGCAGAACTCCATTCGAACTCACCGGCGATCGAGCCACGCGCGACGCCTTCCGCATTGCCCGCCACGATCTCGGCGAGTCAAAATGGGACTGGGAGGCAGCCAAGGTTCCATCGGCGGTCTCTAAAGCCGACGCCGAGAGCCGGGCTGAGAAAGAACGCAAAATAGCCGAGGAGGAAGAATCCACCCGGCGCAAGGCTAGGTTGGATCGCCTACAACGCGAAGAGGCCGAGAAGGCGGCGAAGCCGAGAACGACTAAATCTGGCGGTCGTACTGTGGGCGCCGTTGAGAAGTCTGCAGCCGAAAGGAGAGATGAAGAGACTAGAGGTATGACACCTGAGATGAGGATGCGATTGGAGAGAGAGCGCAGAGCGAGGGCTGCGGAGGAGCGTTTTAAGAGAATGCAAGGTCAATGAGGTTATATTGGATACCCTTTGAGCATTGAAGCTTTGATGGCGTGACTATTGCCATGAACATTCCATTCCTAAGTAGATATTGGCCCTGTGTTTGCCATGGGAAGAAGAAAATAATTATCGTTAGCATGTGTTTTCCACCGCCAATATTCCTAGCAATGAGCCTAGAAGTTCTCTACTTTGAAGCAAGTACGGAAGATTATTAAGAGTTTGAGAGCCTGGAACCAGTATCATCGGGGAGAATTTAGGCCAAAGCGATAAGTTACTTCATCATCACCCAATGACCATCCCTAGGAAGCAAGTTACACAGGCAAATTGCAATAGTTCGTGATCCTTCGGGCATACGAACCCACAGAGGACAGGAGGGGGCGAGGGGAGCCAACAATAGCTCTTCCTGGGACCACACGGATAAGGATAGTGGAGGAGGGCTTCCACCCTCCATTGGGCGCTACGAAGCCAGGGTCTGGTGTAGTGAGCCCACTTCTACTTGGTAGCCTCTTTACTCTTATCCCTGGCCCTTATCGTGTGACTATGAGAGCACTAGTAGTAGGGCAGGGGGGTAGAGAAGAGGGGGACAACTTGATATAGAAATAGGGAGTGCTGATCGGTAGCAAGCCTGGAGAGATTGTCTCACTTTTAGGTCAATGGGTAGTCAGGCGATTGGGAGGTTGACTCATGTAGACCTTGAGTGTTGTGGGCTTCGGTAGCCATTGAAATGCTAGAAAAGCCATGGTACTCCGAGACAAGGCCGTAGAACACAGCCCCTAGACCCAATCACAACTTCCTGTCGGCTGTAATGGTATTCTCAACAAAAAGAAAAGATAATCAATGATGTATGGTGGAAGACCCGGATCTTAGGGGGTGATCGCCAGCCAAACCACACATCTTTGGCCCACAAAGTAAGACAGGGAGGGGATGATGCGGCAAGAGAACTACCATATTGAGTGATGTCTGAGGCGATGAGGCCGTAAAGTTGAACGTGTGAGACCTCAGTATCTTGCCCTATGGCAAGTACAGTCCCAGCCACATTAGGGCTTGCCGATTAAAGGAATGTGGAGACGATCGACATTGAGGCCCGTGGGAAGGGGCGTATGTCTTGCATTAGCGCCGCAGGGTCCACTGCAGGAGAAGCTTAGATAGCATCCATCCATGGATAGTTAGGAGAGGAAACCATTGGAAATTAGAAACTCTCATCTATTATAGGTTTCGTGTTTATTCTAATGTTGCGCTGTACTCTGTATCTCCTATACCCTATGTTACTGAAGCCTAGCCTTGTGCTCATGAATAATTCTCGGTGGAAGCAGTTTCATCCTCGGCCTACCCCTTGCATGAGATTGGATTTTGATCAGTGGCTGGGGCACGGGTCTTGGAATGGAGGCTGCGGAACATTTTGAAGGCTCTCCACTAGGTATTGTACTGAGTCCCTTTGAATAATCCCGGGTCTAGTGGCGCTGTCAGCCCTTCTAGTCAAGCTGGGTTACAAGGAGTAGACAGGACGCCCTTTCGATAGGCACAAATTGAATATCGTTTACCAACTGCTTGTAATCACAATGAGTCTATATGCTATGGATTTGTAGAATGCTTGTCGGCCCGCAGTGTGCAGCCAGTCTGCACCCCACAGTGTGGTAGATGCAGAGTTCTGCAAGATAATGCAAGCTGTATCTTTGCACGAGTTGACCTGAGTAACCCCTGTAAGGAGAAGCAAGGGAAATGGAGTTTCTTACAGTACAGTGTAGAAAATCCCCCGAGTGGGATGACCCTGCTTGATCCTATAGGGCACATGGCATTCTAAGCATTGACCCACGAGTACTCCGTAGTGGTCCGTGTATTCACATACATACTGTACTCCATAGTAATATTCACTATAACCTCCATACAGTATGGATGTCGTTAGGGCACGTATGAGTCTTGGCGCGTCGCGTCGCGTCACGCGAAACGCGAGACGCGTCAACGCGCTGAAAATTATGAAGCCACCATGCCACCATGCCACTAAGCTATTTACAAGGTCTATGAGTAGGATCATACAAGTGGCAGTGTTCAGAAGCCCTATAGTCCTAGAGTCCTAGAGGGCTGGCATGGCAGGGAACAAATCTCCTGGTGAAGGGTAGGAGAAGTAGGAGAATAGTAGAAAGGGAACCTCCTCTTTCAGATCGTTATTAAAACGCGACTTCCCCCGGTGGCAATGATGAGATCAGGAAATCAAAGAAATGGTATGACCGCGTCTAACCAGGGCTGTACTTGGATACTTGGTATACAGCCCTGAGCCATTGACGTTACAGGCTCTGACTTCTTTGCAATACACCAATACAATCTGATCATACTATACAAATTCAAAGAAAATCGTGCACAGAGTCGATCTGTTGCCTAAATAGGAAATGTAATTGGAAAAAGTGTCTCAGGGGTGCCTCGTGCCTGTAGTCCTCTTTGTATGCGCCTTGCATGTAATCCCTCTTGTCCTAGACTCCTTAGTATACTGTTTCACTGGTCTACAATCTCAAGTCCTTCAGGTCCTTCAAGTAGATAGTATAATAGAGAGGCCTTCATTCCTGTTCCTAGTATTCCTACCATCAGCTCCTCCCGTCAGCTCCTTCAGCTCCTTCATCACTTTCGTTGACCCTGAGATCTGTCTCTCACATTCCCTTCTTTTTCCAATCAACTCTGCCAACTGTTTCAACTGTTTCATAGTTCCTTTGAGCTTGTTGAAGTCAATAATAGATCGAACACATTCTTTGTGGCCGGAAATAAACTTGACGTTGCACGGGAGATCATTCGCTTGACCGTTTGCGGCCCCAATTTTCTTTTTATCGCCGCATTTCCCCTCCAACTTCTTCTCCCTACACACTCACTGTCAAAACATCCATATCACCAAACTGCTGTCGCATCCCCCGGAAAAGGTGGAACTTAAAGCGCATTCCAACGACAATATCGTCCATTCATTTTCGCATCCCCAACTGCCTCGTCGCGCAGCGCAACCGCCTCCGGCGCAATCACAGCCTACCCACAAATCGCGCGACCGCGCAACAACTCGACGTTGACTCTCTTTGATCCCATTCATCTTCAAACCAACTTCAAACCACTCAAACCGCGCATTCAATTTATATCTACAATCATGCTTCTCCCATCCGCCCTCCCATGCGATGTGCGCCAGTCGTCTCGCTTCACTCCCAGCCGCCTATTCTCAACTCCTCCCCCATCCGACACAGGATTTGCATCGGGCAACGGTCTTCTTGGCACCTGCCGCGCACTACAATCTCTACTCAACCGATCGCCCACACCTTCATCAAGATCTGTGAAATCCCAACGTCTCCAGAGCCCCCTCCCCCTCAACACACCCCGTCGCTCGCCGCGATCGCACAAGGCCGCACGCCTAGTCTCCCCTAGACAAACACCACCACCCAGAACTGCCGCTCTCACACCCCCTCCTCCTCCATCCGCACCCGCCCGCGGCGCAAACAAGCGTCGCCGCGACATTCTCGATGACGATGACAGCGACGCGGAGATGACTCGCCGGCGCAACCGCTTCGCGACTCCCAAACGCCGCCGTCACGTCCCCTCCGATATGCCTCTTGGCCTTTCCTCCACAGATTTTTACTCCCTACACTCTCCTCCTGTCACCCAATCTCCTCCCTCTCCTCCTCGTCGCCAGATGGACTATGACATCCCAGCTGGTCCATGCGTCGACCCAGACGCGCCTCTGCCTTCAATCGAGGTAACAGACGAGTGTGCTCCTTCGGCTCCACAAGACTGGACCGCCGAAGAAGACCAACATCTTCTCGAGCTGGTCCTCGGGAAATTCCGCCTCTCCCAACAAGACTGGGACGAGTGCGCGCGCCAAATGGGCCGCAGCCACGTTGGGCCCAGGTGGCAGTCCCTCATTGGTGAGGGTCGTGTCGGCCTGCGCTCGAGTCGGCGTTGAATATTGAATATTGCTTACTGCAATTATTACTGTCTTTCTTAATGTATTATATGATCTCTGTACCACCTGTGACCAACCTTATTCCTATTGGCCTGACTTGGCTTGATTTCTTTGCCGGAACACCAACTGTATTATCATTTTTCTTTTCGGTCTGTTGTCTATTGACCAGCACAAATTGCTTTCGTCTGCTTGTCCGGTGCTGTGAGTTCCGTTCTATTCGGGCTATGTGAATATGTTCCTGCTTCTTTTCTTGCTCATACTGTTGTTTTTGTGTGACTTATTCTTCCACATCTACTATCGTTTGTTTGGGAATTGTACTACTATCTACTACTACCAACTTGACTTATATTTTTCATTGTCTATCACTCGAACAAGTATAAGATATTAACCGTAGATTGACAATTGCTTCATGCATGCTAGTGTCACAATCGTCTCATCGTATCTAAGATTTGGGATGGATATCTCAAGCCAGTATAAACATGCTATTACACAATGCAAACCTTTGCCATGGTACTGAATCTTCCAAAGTCAACCTCAAACTCCCACAAGCATACATCTGAGGTACGGGAAACGAAGAATTGGATACGTGTAAAAAAATCCAGTATGTATATGGCTCAATCCAACGCCAGACACCAATGTGCTGCGCAAAGTAAAAATAACAAGATGAAACCGGACTCAAGTCCAATGATGTCAACAATGCTCGTTGGAATCCTCTCCCACACGAACCCAAAATCAGCTCAAAATTTCGAGAATCATCAGAACCTAATGAAGCAGTTGAGTCAGCGACAAAAACCATGACCAGCGAAAAGATGAAACACATACCGAATCTCATAACTCCCTGCGCGAGTCATATAGCGCACCCACTTGACAGAGCTGTAGTTACTCTTCTCAAAGACCTTAAGATAGCGCACCAGCAGACCCGAAGAGGTAAACATAAGCAAACTAAACGAAAGACTCAACGGCGGACGACTCCAAGCCTTCTGATGCGTCATAGTCGTAAGCGTTGCCTCAGCATTAAGCACATACTCCGACTGTCCGGAGAAGCGGGCAATCTTCCAGACGATATTGTTCTGCTCTGGTTCATACTTGGCGCGGCCCTGGCTCGTGCGCTCCGTAGTCTTGGCAGTATTAAGCGGCGTGGGGATACGAATAACCACATTCGTGGCGAAGAGCTTGGAGCTGTAATTTGCCTTGATGGCGACGCTGTACTCGACCTTTGTGGTACCGATCTCGCGCACAATCGGGTGCACCTTGAAGGGCAAGTTGACGTTCTCGGTGGCGCGGTAGCGCATCAGCTCAAACTCGCCATCCGGCGGCACGAAGGAGATGATGCGGTCTGCGTCGAACCGGCCCAGCTTCACGCACTGGTGGAACTGGCAGTCTTCTAGCGTGACGGAGCCTGCCGCGGCGCGCGTTGTCTTTGAGGTGCTAACTCCGTTGCCGCCGCCCGGATTGTTCATGTTGCTAGAGGTCTCGCCGGTGTCTAGGAGGAGACGGTCGTTCAGGCCGAATTTGCATTCTGGAGTGCCGGTAAGGTAGGCGCGCATGACGATCTGGCCGTTGACGTCGGCGCGGAGGACGGTGCCTGTGGCGGACATCAGGAGGTTGACATCTTCGATGACGTCGACGAAGGCTTCATTTTTGCGGTATTTTATGTCGGATCGGCGCCAGGAGAGCGCGCCTGTTGCTTGTTGGGTGATTCGGGCGGAGTCTGATGGGGAGTTGGTGATGGCTGATTTGACGCCTTCGGTTGTGATGTACATTTTCAGGGTATCTGGGTCGGTGTTCTGGGGGTATCCGAAGTCGAGGATTTCTGTATCACCAATTGTCAGGCTCCATTTCTAGAGCATTGAGTCTTTTCCACATACCATCGAGCAGTTCGTAAATCAGGACGAAGTTGTTCTTCACGGCCTCCTCATCGAGCTTCCCGAAATAGCTCTTGCCCAGCATGACCAGCCGGTAGAGGAACTCGAAAACCAGCGCAGCATTGGCATTGCTCTTGGTCACAGCTACCAAGTAGATGTTCTCGTGCTTGACATGGCTAAAGGTTGTCGAGCCCAAGGTCAGGATCGGCGAGCGCACCTGGGGATTGGAGATGACTTGGATGCGGAAGATATCGGCTAAACGCGGGCGGCAATCGCTGCGGAAGGCGCGAAAAATGAGGTTTTCGCCCTTCTGGTTAAATATGAGGATCCCCGAGAGCATATTGACTTAGTGAGTCGAGTTGCTGCTCCTGATAGGAGTTGGAGAGCTGCGGAAACAGGGGTGGGGTGGATCGACACCGCCTGGGGTATAAAAGGAGGTCTACTGCTCTTCAACCACTTCAATCTCCCAACTGCAATGAGTGAACCATGTGAGGGTTGTATCGCATGCGGCTGGACATCCATCAAACAAAAACAGTGCCATTACTCTAGCCACCTTAAACTATTCTATGGTGCATCTAAACGGGGCGTTTGGTCTATCGGTTCTGATGTGATTTTGAAAGATCGCCCGGACGAGGGTCCAAAAGCAAAAGTTGAAGTCACAACACTAAATCACCTGGCAACATATACCGATATCCCAGTCCCAAAGGTTCTCCGTGACTGGGTCGATCGTGATGGGCGATACTTTGTTATGACCGAACGCATAGATGGCCAAACCCTCGAGGAGGCATGGCCTTCGTTGTCAGAGCCTCAAAAAGTGGCCATCGCGGATCAAGTTGTTGAAGTGCGTAAGCAGCTTCGATCCATCACGTCAACCTCCATCGAATGTGTCGATCATACCCCATGTTATCCCAGTTTACTGTTCTTTAATCTTGAACCGTACGGGCCGTTTCACTCCGACCAAGAACTCTGGGATGCTCTTAGCCTTGACCTTCACCATCTACCGCCGAAAGTGTTGGAGAACTTAAAGAAGCGCCTACCGAAATGCGAGCCCTATGTCCTCACTCATTGCGATCTCAATTTGGGCAACATCATGATCCGGGATGGAAAGGTCGTTAGTGTACTCGACTGGGAGTACGCCGCCTCTCTTCCTATCTGGTATGAATATGTCGCGGCCTCTTTCGGATTTACAGTTATGGATGTTGAATAGAAGAAGTTGTTGCAAGAGCGCTTAGGCGTCCATGACGAGGGACATGAAGATGCCAAGGCATTTTGGAGGGATTTGTGCAATCTAAGGCAGTATCCGGATTTGAATGAGAAGGGTCAGGAAGCCTTGGAGAGACTATCTTAGACTAGTTATCTTAAATAGTGACACATTTCTTTATTGGGGAAACTGTTTATAATGATAGCGCCAAGTACGAGCTACAAGTTGATTGGGTGCCCTGAAATGGATTACATACCCCGCAAACCTTAACTATCGTCTATAAAAACACACTACGCAAGAGGATTGCCTAACCTAGACACGCACCGATCATTTAGTCTGCCTTAGTGGTTTACTCATATCAAACTGATTAGTTATTCCTTGCATTTCACTCCGTCGTTTTCACACACCGTCGAATCAAATATCGAGGAAAATGCGTCGCTTCGAACGCATCCACAATGTTGTCGAACCTGTCGAAGAGTATCGATCTGGAGGCTACCACCCAGTTCACCTCGAGGACACTTTCCACCACAGGTATCGGATTGTTGCAAAATGGGCATTTGGCCAGTTTTCCACAGTTTGGATTGCGGAAGATACAAGGTTGTATTCACCGCATCTTCCTATCGTGCTCACGACTATCAAACTTACTCCTTCCTGTGCTTAGGCTTGGAAGATATGTTACGTTGAAGATTCTCAAAGCGGATATCCCAAGTAGCAGCCGAGAACGTTCTATCCTCCTTCACTTATCGAAAGCAGATACACACCATCCAGGGAAAAACCACGTTTTGCAACTATTAGATCACTTTGAGCACAAAGGACCTAATGGCTTACATATTTGCCTCGTTTTCCCGGTCATGATGTCAGATGGTGGAGCAATGACTGTCCGGGAAAAACCACGCTGTCCAGCTTATGTTCGTGAGGTTTCGAAACAAATATTGCTCGGCTTGAGTTATATTCACGACCAGAGCCTTATTCATGGCGGTATGTATCTTCGAGACTATGACCAAAATGATAATATTGATTTGTGAACAGACCTCCAACCAGCCAACATCCTATTCACCCGGAACGGCGACTTATCGAGCGAAATGATAGAAGAACCCGAATTTAGTCCTGTCAATTGGCTTCCAGGAGTTGAAGTGGATGACAATGCCCCACGGTATCTTATGAGCTCGCAACGGTCCCGCGGAATGCTAGACGATGCAGCCTTCTCGACGCTCATAGTCAAGATTGGTGATTTGGGCGGAGGTCTGAACCCTTTTAGTGATGCGAGAATGTCGATTATTGACTATTACCATAGCTATGTGGAACACACATCATGATGTTCTTCCTGTCACGCCCATGGCGCTGAGGGCACCCGAGTTAATTCACCCCCATTCGTGGAATGAAAAGGTGGACATATGGGCTCTAGGGTGTTTGGTAATTTACCCCATCCTTAATCCCTAACATGATCTAACCATCAAGTACAGGTATTTCAACTTGCTACAAACGAGCCACTCTTCCCGGTAGAATATTTTGGCTGCACGATTGACGAGGTTCATGGGAATTTGAGATCTCTCATGCGCGACCTATTTGAGCACGGCAATGAAAAATTTGCCATCTACATTAGCGAGAGATTACCGGCTGATTTTGGCAAAGACAATACTGAGAAGCTTGCAGATTTTCTTTGGTCGGCGTTGCAGGAACGTCCGGAAGATCGGGGATCAACTACTGGGCTTCTCGATCACCCTTTTTTAGTTGGATGAAGAGGTCGGGGTTGGATCTAGGAAGGATGAACCTTATGCGCTATCCTCGATGTTGACGAGTTTTGGGAATATTGGAGTATTATTGGGATTTGAGCTTGAAGATATGCTTGCTTGTAGTGTGATATTTTTGCCTAATGTATGCATTGTCAGGATGGTGCATGCACCTGCCATACAAGGCATGTTATGCAGGCAAAGCAAACGCTGACTTGCATAAACGCTCAATGTACAAGTATTGTATGGACCATGGGCTGCTCTACTCCTATTGAACATCAACGTGGAGGGAGCATTAAAGCGGAGAGAAAGCAAATCCGCAATGTAGTTCTTTCTCAGGATTAGCAAGTCTAAAGGTGACAATGCAGTATGACAGCCGGATATGGACAAAGAGGTATGGTCAAGATGACAGTAAGAAATCAGGGTAAAGTAGCCCCCCAGGGGAATCAGGGATATGTAGATGAAGCTGAAGGAAGAGATATGAAAGAAAGGATCAGATCACAGAAATATTAAAAGGAAAACCTCGGACTCCAAAGACGAAAGGTATATAGCGAAAGATTCAGTGTCGCGCGGGATGGATATCATGCAGAGGTCCCAGTGAAGGAACAAATCACAAAGATGTACAATCAGAAAGCAAAAGCAAAACGGCGCCTGCAGCCCGACACCATCAAGAGCCAGCCCCAATACCAGTACTCGGCCTAGTATTAGCAGCTGAAGGGGCTTCACTGGGTACAATGCCAACCTTGGGATCGGGAATCTGGATATCAAGCGACATATAGGCCGTCCGCCTCAAGCTCCAGATATGAACACCATCTTTGGCACCGACCTCGCGGTTCCAATTCTCCAACCAAGCCTCGACACGCTGCAACTGGCTTTTCGTCGCGGGGGCATTGATATCATCCCATACCCAGCCCGTCAACAAACCCATCGTGCTGTCGAACCAATTCCGAAAACTGAACGGATCAAACGCCTTGATAACACCATCGTTGACGGTAGAGATAACCCGGCGAAACTCCTGCTCCGACAACAACGGATCAAGAATCTCAGGATACAAATTCGAAAACGTCGGCGCCAAATCACCCCTGATCATCCAATCTCGCCGGATGCGAATCACGCGCGTTGTGAGGTACTCCCGCGACCCGACAGGCACATGGGGATTAATATGCGGAAAACAGGGGTGAGCAGGGCCCCAGGCGAGCTCCTCAGCGACATCGGCATGCGGGTACCCAGTATGCGACGGGACGGAAGCGATCTGGGACTGAGACTGGGACTGGGAGTGGAGGGAAGTTTGTGACTGGGTGTAGCGGAAACGGTCGTTCTGTCGGGTGCCGTTCTGTGTGAGGTGGACAGCTTCGGGAGGGCGCAGGTTCTCTGTTTCGCGCGCTGCGCTGCCCGCGAACGCGGCCGTCATTTCTGTGAACTCTTCGCTGCGACGGTGTCGTCGGGGCAGAGCAATGCTAGTCCGGCCACTTTCTGTTTCCCCCTGGCTGCGCTCGACGAGTAGGCTGCTCGGGGATGGGCTTAGGCGGGAGCGGCGTCGCTCTGGGACGCTGAGGAGGGGGTGGACGTCGCGTGAGTGGTCGAAGCTGAGTGGGAGACTCTCGTCGGATTGGTGGGGGCGGACGGTTATGGGGGTTATTCGTGGGACGTGGTTGACTGGGTTTGCGAGTCGGACTGCTGGTGGGCGGAGGAGCGACGGCGGGCCTGAGATCGGAACGCACTGTCGCCGCTGGGCGCGAACGAATGACGGAGTTGACTCCACGGAGGCGCGATTGGGTGGAGATCGGTTTATGAATTGTTGGCCACGTGGGTAACAGTATGCTTCTTCCTCCCTCGACAGAGGTCTGGGGACTATTAAGGACGCCGTTTTGAGGGGAGAAAGGAGAGGGGGGAAACTGGAGCGGAGATGGAGATCGGCCAAGAGAACAGTGCCCTATGTGGACATACAGCAAAATGAGTGTGAGAAATGATATTAGAAAAGAATTAGGGAAAAGAAAGAAGGTTTGAATTTGTAGGTGAAATTTGAGACAAAACCCTTGTAAATCTTTATAGAAGCAGCTAGCTTGGCGTATATGAGTCTCGACTCTGGCTAAATGGACAGAAACCGGAAATCAGACTTGAAGAAGGATCTTGCATCTTATATCTTATATCAAAGTGACAGAGACTCGAAAGGGATATACGTCCAATAATATAATAATACATATGCAAGTCGTTTGCCCCCGGTTTCACTGTGATGAATCCACCGTCCCTTGTTTCATCTCGGCCTTTATTGGTAGTATGCACACTCTAGCAAACGCTAATAGACGTACTATTGCACTATTAGGGATGACTATCGCAGAGCATAAGGACCGTTAGGGACTTTGGTCCTATCAGCTCTTATTACCAACGGAAATTGGCCATAGGATTTTCCGACTTATTACTCCGTAGAGTCATAGATATTATCAACAAGCCTGTCTTCGTCCTATTCTATAGGCTACGACCGATTCCCGTTAAAAGCCAATAGGAACCCTAGTAGTCACCATGCACTGCGATATGACGAACTGCATTTCATTTCAGACCAGGTCTCGGCAGTGCTCGGTGTGGCCGTATTACTTGCATGACGCGAATTGGGCAAAGATATACATTATCAAATAAGATTATAGACATTGATGCAATAAATACTTCATAAAGTCGTAGGAAACACACATTCGCCATGGCATGTAATAACAACGCTTGGTAAAAAAGAACCAAATCAAGGGGTATTGAGAAAAAGGAATGAACCATGATTAGGTACTATAGCTTTCGATTCGCTGAAGCCTGCATGCGCCGCATTGCCTGGCGGTGCAGATCCGTCATGTTGCCACGCTGCATGCCGTCTGCGATGGCATTGCCCAGCTGAGCAGACGAAGACTCCCGCATCTGCTGCACAGAGCTCCATGTGCGCCGCTGGTCGGGAGGACCGGCTGGGCTGAGGGGCGGGGGCTGCATGGCCAAAGGATTTCGCTTTTGAGTGATTTCCTCGCGGACCGATTGTCGCCACGCTGCCATTCTTGAAGCAGACCGCTTCAGCTCGCCGGCGGGATCTGCCGGCGGATACATAGGGGACTGGGCAGCCTGGAGATTCTCAAGGCTTAATGCAGATGAAGACCGCATTGTCTGGCGCTGTAGCAGGGCGCGCCGTTTGGAAAGTGGGATGTCATCCTCGTTGGGTTGGGCTTGCTCGTGTTCTATCTCCTTTTCTTCTGGGATGGAGAGCGGTGGTGATACTGGTGATACCGGGGAGACGAGGGGTGCCATATCAGGTAGAGACTGTCGGGATAAGTTGCGTGCGGCCCAGGGATCGAAACGGTTGGATGTTGAGGACATGCGGTTTCGGACCATGTTCTCGCGAATTGCGAGGAGGGGAGGTGGCCCATTCCAGCGCGACGATGGCTCTGCTTCTTTGGGCTCGTTGGGAGTAGTGACTGTCAACAGGGGAGTCGATGCGCAGCGCATCGACGTCAATCCCGGTTCTTGGGTTGTAAACGGATTAGAAGCCGATCGTAACATGTTTACCGAAGCTGTCGAGTCGTTCCGGGTTAGACTTAGATTCGCTTTGCCGAGACCTTGCGCGCCAGTCCGTGTCTTTGATCGGGGAATATCTGGTGAGGGTGCCGATGAGATGTATGGTTGTTGATTGTCCATATCATCCAATTCAGGTCTGTTCACGATTGGTGGTGGTTGTGCGGTAAGAGGCGTCTGGAGAAGACCGCCTACATCGACAAATGCTGCGGTCTCGCGAACTTCCTCTGAAGCTTCTGCCTCGGGTTCCGGCTCGAACTCAATCGGTTCCATCTCAGGGGTGTCCGCATCTGCGAGATGCTTGGCCCATTCATTCGTCCGATACGAATGGATCACTCGTGATGTTTGCTCGGGGATATGCTTGATGCTTGACGCATCTAGTTTCTTGATTACTTTGATCTTTGGCTCAACCTTGGGCTCGGGCAAAGATACAATCTTCTCGGGAATAGACTCGGCCTCGATGGTTTTAGCAGTAGGAGGCTGATCTTCATTGGCCTCCACCTTTTCCACTTCTGTATCATTCATAGGTGACGGCTCCAATGTAGGTTGGGGCTTGGCTTCCTCGATCTTCTTTGAGCCATCTGGAATGTCTGCTTGAACATCTGTTGCGGGGGTTTCTGGCGATTGTGGCTTCTCCGACACTTCGGAGATTCCAGAATTCTGGGGACTGTTGGCAATAACAGTGCTCTCGAGGGGAGATACCTGCTGAATAGTCTCGCTAGTATCGACTTCTTCGGTGGTCACTTTCTCGGCATCCTGGGATATGGCTGTATCGACATGGAGTCCAACATCTTGGACAGCTTGTGAGCCGGAATTTGACTTGATGTCCACACCTGCCGAGTCCTTCTCTGGAGATAACTCGGCTCTAATTTCGCGCGTTTGCTCGTGAACATCCGCATCTGATATAACACTCGGACAGCCAACGCTCATCTCATGGAGATCATCCACAACCCCCAGGACAGAAGAACTGGCATCATCATGAGCCACCAGATTCTCCTGCGACTGTGAAGTCGTCATCACACCATTGCTGTGCCGCCAAGACAACCGGTTCAACATTTCTCTGCCGGAGAACCGTTTCGAGCGCGGCGTGCCGACCTCCGAACCGATCTCAGCACCGATCTCAGAGGACTCATCATTGCCCTCACCAAGAACATGAGTCATAACAGGTGTGGTAGGTCTCGGCATCTTTTCTTCAGATTGATCCTCCTTTTCGACACCCTTTTCCTCTGCATCCTGTGATTGATCCTGCTGGGATGAGTCCTCCTCAGGTACAGCCTCAAGTTCGCGAGTACCGTTTTCACCCTGACGGTTCTTCTCGCCATCAGAGGCACTACAAGACGCATCCGGGCTCGAGATTTCCTTGAGCTCAATCTCACCCTCCTTATCGTTGTCAGAGGACTCGAACGCCTCCGAGCCCCGTCGCGAGTCACCGACCGCAGTCTCTGAAATCGAGGCGGTTTTGCCATCCGCGGCTTTTCCAGTTCCGTAAATGAGTTCCCATTCAGCGCGTTCTTGGATATTCTTCTCCTCGAGTCGGCGACCGATTTCGAGATCTTCTTCTTCGATCTTTCGAGTGTGTTCCAGGCGGGATTCTTCTTCCTTGGTTCTGCGATCTTTGATGAGATTCCAAAGTCTGATCTGGGAGATTACTCCTAGAACAGCGATAATGATAGTTACGGCAAGCTCAACACGAATACCACGTGTCACGGGGTAGGTGTCTGTGTTAAGAGGGAAGACATTTTGGTTCAAGTCTGGGTCTGTCAGCAACTATCAACAGTTGGAAAGAAATATTAGACTTACTCCAGTTGTATAACCAGAACTCTTTCAATCCAGCTCTGCTAAAGCAATCGATTCCAAGGACAAAGGCAGTTGCACCGGCGAATGATGTGCAACCGATCAACCCGTAAGATCGTGTATAGTGGCTGAATGATAGGCAGTAGAAACCCACGGTAAAGGCAATGATCATGCCGACCCTAGGGCCACTTTCGGTTACAAGACCCCCGGATTTCAAGGCAAGGAACCACATGCTCAGGCAGAAACCGCCTAGAAGACAGCCCAATCCCTCGCATATCTCCCTGAAGACGAGCGATAAAGCACCGAACACAACGCCGGTGAAGAAGACAGCGACGAGATAACCGCCCTGTACAGCATTGCTGACCGGTGGGCTCATTACATAGATAATGAGGACCTGTATGAGAGTTGGTTAGTTTTTGCTCTTTGCTATTTTCGAGTATAGAACTTACGGTAACTCCCAATGCGCTAAGGAATCCGGTTGAGAGGAAGATTTGGACCCTTTTCTTTGTTAGAAAATGCTATTGTCATCAAAGAATCGTAGCTTAAATACCATTGTTGCCGGACACCAATGAAAGCCAGAACAGCCCCGAGGGCAATAAGTATAACTCCCCCAACGCCCCATGCCGGCGTGATCACCGGTTTGATTGGCAGACCACCGGAGTAGGTCGGCCTACTGGAGTCTGCCGCTTCCTGCTGAGAAGATTCAGTTGCTCCATCGAGCGAAGGTACAGTGGAGGTAGCAGAAGCGGCAGAAGTCGTTGTTGTAGCATGCGTTGTCGCGTGCGTTGTAGTGGTCGAGCCAGTAGTCGAGGTAGTAGCGCCTGTCGTTGTAGTTTCGGCAGATGTTGAAGCCTCGGTTGCTGTTTTCGTTGTATCTGTTTGGGTTGCCGTCGTAGTCTCACTGGCAGTATTCTCTGTTTTTGTAGAGTCCGTTTCCTTTTCCTGTCTGACCTCCAAGTTGGCGAATGCAACATTGCGTCGTCCCGCGGGCGAAGCTGGCGCTGCCAATGTCCCCAGTAGGAACAGGGACACTATTAAGGCGAATATAAAAGACCACCTCATCTTGACTCCAGTTTCCGAAGCGAAATGCAAATGTCCTTGGGTATTGTAAGGCCTGCACGCCTTTCACATATCCCGCGATGTCAGTCACACGGCGCGCAAATTAACACAGACGAAAGGAATACACGAATATTAATAATTAAAAATAAGAAAGGGAATTAATTGACGTCGGTCAGGGACACATTGTAGGGTAAGGAGGAAGAAGAAAAAAAGGACAAACGGAGACCAGCCCTAAGCCTCCCTTCCCCTACATATAAATCAAAACGCGTAAGGATGAATGGAACAGGGCTTTCACATTTGAGTTTACAGCTGAGGGAGCCCCAGCATGAATTCAAGGAATCTAAGAGGACAATAAAATTGCAAGCCACGCGATCGTATATCGTAGCTGAGCTATCTACTTTGCCTCCACCGATCGTGGAATTAGCCGATCTAGCAAGGATGAACTTGGACTAACTTGGATTGACTTGGACTAGCATCACTGGCACGGACCAAAGAGAGAGAGAGAATATCCTCATGGCTCCATATTGTGGCTTAATTGTCCCTGGTGTGGATAGTATTGGAGATTCCAACCATGAAACGACATGTTATTGCGGGCCCTCGATGGGACTATTGTTTTTTTAATTTCTAGTTTTTGCTTCCTTTAAGTTGAACAACACACTGGGATCTGCATTTCCAATTCGAGTGAGCTGTCAGATCATCCCTTCTAAGCAAGTTCACCGTCATTTATACTCACGTCGCCAGTTCGCGGTGAACAAAAAAAAAACCACCAGCAGCAGACTCCAGGCCTCTCAGTTCGGGTGGCGCCGTTGCTTTGCCTGTATCCGATCTATCGATTCAGCTAATTTGGCGATTGACCTTCCAGGTTTGAGCCGAATCAATTTGACTTTGACCGTCGACTTGACCAATCTTATTGTCCTGCAAATGTCGGCCGTGTTAGCCATGTTAACCATTGTTGACTCCAAAGGCCCCATCTGCGGCGACGTGGTTGGGCCGCTAATTGACCATGTAAGGAGTGCATCTGAGACAACAGCTATCTTAATTTATCTCGGTCTGGTTCAGTCAATCAGCGGCGGTGCAGCATCTCCGCTGGGATCTGCCCCTGACTGATCTGCCTATCGGCTGCTTTTTCCACTTTAGTGCTGCTGACGGCGTACAATTGGATGTTGTACAATTGTACAATTGTACTTATACGGAATACACGGAAATCCATATAGTTTTCGGGAGAGTCGGATGCGATGGAGTGACGTGACCGGGCTAAAAATATTATACCTTGTTGGCATTCACATGGCGTTATGAAGGATTCCAAAGTAATAGAGTTAGGCCCGTCGTTTGATTTGCATTTCTTTGCTTGTTTGGCCTTGCCCTTTTTCCTTTTGACTCGGGACTTCCAAGGCGAGACGTTGGATTTATAATCCTGATGCTTATAACTAGCTGTCTGCACCCGTAGATAGAACCCTGCACAAGGGGCCATTCCGGGGTAGAGCTATAGCTCTCTCGCATGAGCTTATGAGCTTCGCCAAATAAATATGGAGCACTCATTTCAATCTGCAGGAGATCTCAATTGCAACCAAAATCCCTGATTCAAACCATAATAACCAAGAATAATACTAATAGCCAGCCTAAATAGTGCCTTCTGCCATTATATCATATCTGAAAGCGGTAACCCATGTACACATCACGTGTTGTGGTCAACAACGTTAACACGCCAAAACAATTCCAATGAATCCATCCTTACCATAAACCATAATTCACACATCCTCCATCCAACCATGTCTACCTTCATCTCTCCCCTGCGCCCGAACCTGAGCATGAGCCTGGCCAGCATCCCCCGGTACGCCCGCACCTTCAGCACCTCGCCCAACTGGGCCATCGCCCGCCTGACCCTCACTGGCCGCCTCGGCGCAGAGCCCGAGCTCCATGCCACCTCCTCCGGCCAGGAGATCATCAAATACACCATTGCCACTTCCCACGGCAACCGCGAGAACCGTCAGACGAGCTGGTGGCGCATCGTAAACTTCGTCCCCGAGGGCGGCCAGCGCGATTTCATCCTTGGCTTGCAGAAGGGGTAAGTGGCTGCTCGTGATACTTTTCTGGCTCGTGCGGCTGCATGCTTGGATTGCGTCTTTTTCGTCGTGTTTGCTATATCTTGTCGTTTGAGTTTGGGTCTGCGTGTGCAGTCTATGCGGATCGCGAGCGAGAGCGAGAGCTTGCGCTTAAAGGCTGCATGGGGATCGGCAACGCGGGCCTGGTTGAACATATGACATGTGATTTGGCGGTCAAGCGACATGCTTTCGGATGAGACGTTACTCTTTCATGTCATGTGGTTGAGCAGAGGTTGGGTTATGGGGTTACCCTGCTCAATTTCCTCTGTCCACTTGCGCCAATGCAACAATTTAAGCTTTGGCTTGATGCAGATGAGCTAACTTTCTTCCCGCAGAACCCTCCTGTACGTCGAAGGTGATGCCAAGATGTCCACTTGGGAAGATTCCGAGGGTCAGAACCGGTCCACTTTGAACATTGTGCAGCGTATGTCGATCTCTTGTTTTCTCGATCTGCTCCCAGCCTCCCAGAACAAGAGAGAAAATGGTTCAATCTAACATTCTTCTAGGCACTCTCGAGGTCCTTAAGCGGCCCGATAACTCCGGTCACTCCGACGAGTCTCAGTAAATGGCTTGATTAGGGCTCTATCAGTCTGAATATGTTGCTAGTTCTATTTCGTGGCTGGTGAGATTGATTGAATCCTCCTTTGCGGTGTGATAATATGTACAATACCCTGGATACATTTTGTTTTCTAGTGGATGATTTGATTTTGGTAGCGTGTGATGTAGACTTAGTATGCTAAATCTCGATTCTTGGTCTCAAAATATTGGCCTTCGTAGATTCAACTTGTGACTTATTTCACTTTATACGAGCGAAATCTAAGCCACAGACAGGATCTATCCCGGCCTATCACCAACCCGGGGACTACGCCTTCGATGAACTCTTCTACCTTTCTGTGTGAGGCACAACTGCGCAAATTATGTATTATGATACTTAAGTAGTACTCTGATAGACAACAGATCCCATGACCCAGACCAACGCAAACGCAAGATGAGCAAACCGCAATGAAACCACTGCAAGCTGAGATACAACCCGAAGAAGAACAAGCCCACTAGACCTGAATCCTAACCTCGCTCTGCTGGCTAATAACCTGGCGCACATGTATGAAATCCTTACTAAGCTCCGGCGAACTAGGTCCACTGGACAGATCCCGGCTATCACGACGACTAGCCCAAGCATTCGAGGATACAGTCAGCAAGGTACCAACGGGGAGGTCATTCAGCAGCGTCCCATCGATATCCTGACGAGTCTGACGTCTATTGAAGAGCGACCAGGGCAAGCTATTCCAGCGCGAGTTCCTGGTAGGCCTGGTATGACGGGACAAGGGCGAGGAAGAGCCCTTTTCAATATCGTTGTAAGTGCCATGCGTCGAAACAAACGTAGTGAGTGATTCCTTCTGGCGCGAGAACATCGATTTCGCACGGGAACCGATGCTGCCGACGAGCGTGGTTGCTGTTGAGGCGTGCGCCGCTGAAGGGCCGGAGTTGTGCGTATCGGCTGGGGGCTCGATGCTCGGGAAGCAGTAGCCCAGTCCGAGGTACCAGAAGACTGTGCGGTACATGCGGGTTGCGTCGCGGCCGAAGCCGAAGAAGATGAAGATCATGAAGCCTGATGCGACGGGGGTCCAGCGGTCGAAGAAGACCGTGCCGTCGATGGGGACTTTGGTGATGGTGTTCCATTCTCCGTTGTGGATTCTGCTCCAGGAGTAGCTGTGCCAGGGGAGGGAGAGGATGATGTCGGTGTAGACGACGTAGCCTTGGAGTGGGAGGATGCAGACGAGCATTGATAGGGCCAGGAAGAAGAGACGGAGGAAGCGGGATTTGCTGAGGTTGCTGCTGGAGGCGCGGAGAATGTTTGCGAAGTCGCTTCGGTACTTGTGTACGCGGATGAGCACCAGGCCTGTGATGTTTGGTTAATAGGTGTTTTTTTGAAGTGAGCTGGGAGTATACTTACAGCAATAGTATGCTGCAATGAGGCAGATAATCGGTGGCCAGATCCATGCAAAGACGAGACTAACCCAGCTCTCGTCGAAGTTGTTCACACATCCCGAGATGGCAAATAGCAAGTATCGACTCTTCTGCCAGATGATATGTGTGATCATTGCGGTGACTGGGACAGCCACGCAGAACAGAATCTCCATGCACTGGTTGCGCCAGCGTTGACCTCTGCTCGGGACTAATGTGGCCCGGTCTGTATCCAGTACGATTGCAAGACTTCGAAAGATGCATGCCAGGCTTCCTGGGATGCCCACATAGCCGGCAGCCATAAATTTGACCTCGATATCACAGAGACCGGCTCCGTCCCACCACGACGCCACGTCGTCCGTGGGCCATATGAGAGAATTGATGATGTTGAACAAGTTGAGGAGGATTGACCAGAATATCAGACTGGTAGCAGGGAAATTTCGGTTCTTTCCATGCAGAATTAATGGCGGAATAGCAAGAGCAATGGAGAAAATAGATAGAATTGGTAGAGCCACGGCCTGCGGGTATCTTCGGTGAATATCCATGACGGCAGATGTAAAAAAGAGATTAAAAAGAATATGTGATAGTCTGGACCTCCAGTTCTCTTGCAATCTGGTCAAGGAGACTAAGAGATAGTATGAAAGAAAGAAGAATGGATTGGAACCATCCTCTCTCGATGAAGTATACTCAGCCAGGGGAGGCGATTGACAGCGATGTCTTATTGAGATCCGAATAGTGAGAATCAGGAGGTTGATTCATAGCTCAAGACATCATGTATTGAGCAAACTCATATACTATTCAGAAGAATGTATGGGCTGCAGAAACAAAACCCACGGCCGGGGGTACCAGACCTTGACATATTCTGCAACAAGCAAAGAAACCTATCCATTGAATTAGCTTTGAATTGGACTGAACAAATTGCAATAAGGAGAATAAAGAAGATGAAAGGAGCTGAATAAAGAAATACGAAGCACATCGTCTGGGGTGTGGTGGTTGAGCGAATAGTGTGAGGCACCCCAGTCCGGATTTGGGTGTCAATAGACCCGAAAAGGCAGTTTATTCATTCTGATCCGCCTGGTATTTTTGACTTCGGCATGGGAGATGAATGATTCATAATTGATCTAGACTGTCCAGTCTATCAGATTGGGGAAATTAGAAGATTGACCAGATTTTCAAGGTGTGAGAGTTGATGCATCTAGTCCGTAGAGGATGACCCTCGGCTAACAATAAAAATGACGCTGCAACAACAATAGAAATAGTTAAAATGCATCTATATCTCGTTACTGAATAGTCTATTATTTAGATATGGCATAGTTCCCAAGCTACGTAACTAGTAACAAGAGTAGTCTTGGTCTTAAATGTCTTGTTTATAGTCTCTTATGGGTGTTAGCCGTCAAAATATAGAACCATATAGGGAAAGATATATAAAATGCGAGATATTCATGTTGACTATTAGGAAGTCTACCTACATATTTATATGCATTCAAATGTTCTTCGATGGTCAAGTCAAAGCCCTGGAGTGTCGGGCCTCATTGCATCATCCTCGGCATTGTATCCCATACTCTCCAGGCCGTATGGTGTACGAAGTAAGAGACACACATGTTCCTTTTCCCAACCTCAGAAACAACATGGCGGATGCACCCACTCAGCGGCCCTTGAACATACGTCGCGCCCGTACCTCCGAGGAAAATCAACGACGGAACTCAACCCTCTCGGACACGCTCTCGGAGGCCCGCAACTCCATCCGCTCATCGACCGACGACTTGTTTCTACCCCGTGTAGCAAAAGGCCATGGCACACTCTCGACAGAAGAATCGAATTGGCATTCTGCACCGCTAGGCCTGGCCCTGCTGCCCGCAATAGCAGGCATTTTCTTCCATGAAGGTAGTTCGTTCGTCACCGACGTCACAATACTAGTTTTGGCCGCTATATTCCTCAACTGGTCTGTCCGGTTACCTTGGTATGTGCCCCCCTCCCCCACAATCTTCCCAAACAAAGTACTAATACTAGCTATATAAAGGGACTGGTACCGCTCGGCCCAGGCCATCCGACACGAAGAAAGTGGATTCCCAGCGCCCGGCGATCCCCCATTCGAGCTCGACGACCAAGAACAACACAAAGATGCAGCAACAGCCATCTCCGAGCTCCAAGTCCACGAGCTCATCGCCCTAGCCACCTGCTTCATATTCCCTATAGTCGGCACCGGTCTCCTCCACGCCATCCGCTCCAGTCTCTCCCGACCCTCCGAGGGCCTAGTATCAAACTACAACCTAACAATCTTCCTCCTAGCCTCCGAAGTCCGCCCAGTCGCCCACCTCCTAAGACTAATCCAAAAGCGCACCCTCCACCTCCAACGCATCGTATCATCCGCAACAGACCCAATCATAACCCCAACAACCCTCCAAGACCTAACCAAACGCCTCGAAGAGCTCGAAGCCCACGTCGCAGAGACAGCAACCGCCCGTCTCGCCACAAAACCAAATACCAAAGATCCCTCCCAAAAAGTACAAGAACAAGAACAACCCCAGATCTCCCCAGCCCTGGTCGCCAGCGCGGCCCTCGAAACCCGAAAAGCTATCCAGCCCGACATCGAAGCCCTCAACCGCGCCGTCCGTCGCTACGAGAAGCGCTCCGCTCTCTTCTCCCTGCAGACTGATCAGCGCTTCGTGCGCCTCGAGACACAGGCCGGCGACGCGCTTGCGCTGGCGGCTGCTGCGAAGCGGTCGGCCGAGTCTCGTCGTCCGAACTATGCGCTCGTCTTGCTGGACTGGGCTTGCGCGTGCGTCGTTGTCCCTGCTCGGATTGCGCTGTCGCTGGTTGGTTTGCCTGGGCGTGCGGTCTCGGGGTGTTGGCTTGGGGCGAAGCGGATGCTGATCGGGCGGAAGCCTGCGCCGCAGCAGAGATCGAAGTCTAAATCGTCGAAGGGGAAGGCCAGGGCTGGGTCATCCGGTGTATATCGGCAGGGTGGTGGGCTGGTGTCGCAGCGGCGGTCTGAGGTGAGGAATGGGGATGGGGGATGAGGATATGCATGGACTTTTATTTTGTTTTCTTGTTGACTGCATAGTATTTAGTGAGCTGGAAAACGGGTATTGGGTAGTGACCGAGCGATCAGCATATTGGCGTGCATGTATGGACTTGAGCACTTCCGAAGCATAATTTATCATGAACTATAGGATGGGAATATTGACTTTAGTTCAAATAGCTTGCCCAGCCTGTATCATTGATCTCTAGGGGAGGAAAACGTGAAGACATGGCATCTATACAGCGTTATACACATCGAGACAACGTGATGGAATCTAACAACTTCGAAAGTCAAGTCTATAGCAGTCAAAATATGGCCGGGTTCGGGTAAATCAATACCGGCCCCCAGATGGACCTCGATCATCTACCCCAACCATCTTTAAGAATGGCTCAATGATTGATCGCCTCCGCTCTTCAGATATACGACGCTCTTTCTCTTTAGACGGCATCGGAGCAGAGGCAGAAATAAGCACAAGTGCAAAGACAGATGCTAGAGCAGTCTCGACTGCTTGACGGCGTGCTATTGAATGGTTCTGAGGCGGGGGGTCAGGGCTGGTGCTGGTAGATGTGCTCGAGGTGCGGTTCTTGCGACGGAAACTGCCGCTGGTTATGAAGGCAGTAGCGGAAGCTGGAGTAGGAGACTGAGCTTGGTTCTGGCTTGCAGCCCCAGCCTGCTTATCTACCGGTTTATTGGGGGTGGCGTTGTTCTTTTGCTTGGATAATGGGATCAACGGCGTACCGGCCGATACTGGAGCCACTTCATTGGCTATGCGGGCGAGCATAAAAGTGACAAACGTGAATGATACGCTGTGCGCTGGTGAGTAGGCCAGGTGCTCAAGCACCCAGGACTGGCTTTCTTCCCAGTTTCGAGGAGGGGATTTACTTTTCTCCCGCGCAACTATCTGCTGCTCCATGTCTTGCCACACTTTCGCGGTGACGATTCCGTCTTGGAGCGAGTTGAGGAAAGTGAGGAGGGTTTCAGATAGGACCTCCAATCGATGAAGAGAGGATATCTCAGGGGCAAATATTGAGCTGAGGGATTTGTTGGTGTCAAGAGCTTCACGCACGGAATTTCGCAGCTTAGCACGCTCCTGTGGGTCCTTTAGAGTCCATGTATCAGGCTGGAAAGGCCAGGCTCCCCCGGAAAGATCCGTTGCCCATGGAGCTTTATGCTCCTCGGATTCACCATTTGTCATGCTCCACTCTGCGACAGCGCGCTCTGTCAGCTCGGATATCGCCTCGGTCAGTCGGAAAAGCTCGCGGGGTGCCGACAAGCGGATTTCCGTGGAAGTATCTGTGATGGATGGGTGTGGGGTTTTTGATTCGGCCAAACTTCGAGCACCCGCTTCTGGCATGCGGGTCAACTCGTCAACACTACAACCGAAGCAGGTGGGTAGCCAACGGCCCTGAACAGGGATAAAGTGGTCACGGCCGCCATCGACATGGAGGACTAGGATGTCTTCTAGATTCACCTTTCCAATATTAAGCAATCGGACGTGTTCGATGTTGCGAACGTAAGCCGTGACATCGATATTCGCTACTTCACCAGGGAGCAGAGTGTGGCTCTCAGACGAAGAAGCCATCGATGGGCCGGTGTCTGGGGCGATGTCTGCAGACTTGCAGACACGCACAACAAGCCACGAGGCTGTTTGTGTAATTGTCTCGTCGACAACTTTATGCCGCTCCGCAAATGAAAAAGTTGCCGGGGTGCCGCTGGTGTTGGCAATAGTTAGGGACCGATGAGCTGGCACATCGAAGGCAATATCGCCGAAATCGACGGTGTCAGGATCTTTCTCTGGGCGCTTATGGTCACCATGCCTATCCACCACAATAGTAAGATCCGGCCGAGCTTCATTCTCGGCCTTGTCCAATTCACGGGCCACTTCTTGATGCACCTTTGATTTCAGATCGCGATTGACTGCATCAAAACTCAAGGTAAAGGTAGCATCCAGAGGCTTGTGGTCAGACGACAGAATGCCTTGGTGTGACACGTAATGATCCAAGCGGATTAAATCATAGCAAGAGTCAAGCGACGCAATTGTGCTTGCATCATCATCATCAGCGGCTTGATCCTCGTCCGACATGTACTCCTCGCTGTTCGCACCGTCTTCATCAGGGTCATAATCAAACAAGACGTTATCATCCGCAACAGCCTTGTCCAGTCCCCTTGCTTTCATCTCTTCGTCTCTCTTTCGGGCCTCCTCCGCTTCCTGATCGAGCTTCTCATGTCTCAGCTTATCCCGCTGACTACGAAACAGAATCCGATCACACCAGCTAGGAGCGCGCTGCTTCTCGCTCGTATCAAACATGGCCACACTCCCAACATCGTATTTGTACGTCGGCAAGAAAGTGATATGACCTTCCCGCCAACCCTTGTGGAAAGCTGATCCTTTTCTTTGCTGAAGTTTAAGTTGATCGTGCGGGATAAGTGAGGCAATTGTAGTTTGAAGAGACGCAGGGTCATTATGAGGATCGATCTGTTCGTCGGTGACAGGTTCGGTGACAGTTGCAGTGACTGACTCCGTCTCCTCTTCCTCGGGGGAGGAGAAGAAGGCGAATCATCATCAGAATCGGGCGTAGAGTCGCCAGAAGGGCTTGAAGACATCTTTTCTTGGCGCTCTTTGTCGTACTGATTGGCGGTATGTCGCGAGAGGACTTGGCGCACATCTTCGCCAGTGATATCATCGAGGCGGTAGTTGAGGTCACCAAACCAGAAAGTGAAATCTTCATCTCCTATTGCTTCGCCCGATTCGCCCGATTCGCCCGATCCGTCATCCTCGGGCCAAACCGCGTCAAATCTAGCACGCTGGACAATCTGAGAAGAGTCCCAGTTGCGTCGCTCCAAGCTGCCTTTGTCGGACCCCGCTGCGAGATGACAGTTGATAAAGACCAAACGGGTGGTTTCGCCCAGGACAATGCGCGTTGCCACAGCGCCTTTGTTTCCCATGTACCCCATCAGACCCGTACCGACAGATGTACTACTGACAGAAGCAACACTGTCTCCAATGGCGGGCGACACATATATCAGAAGCAACAAGCCGACCAGCTGGACTTCAGATACTAGCTTATATCCTCCGGGTAGCGCCTTTTCCACAGCTTCCTTCCACCGCTTGGACGGTGTGAGGTCAACATATGGCCGGAACGCTTCTGTTGGAGAAGAGATATCGACCACTTCCTGCAAGCCCAAGACGTACAGGTCTACCTCCTCGGGACTGTAGTGAAAGGTTACTTTTTTATCGCTGTCTGATTTTGGCTCGTCGGGCTTGCTGGGCGAATCGGATTCTGGCTCGTGCGCGTAGTTTGTCCCAGAGAATTTCGGGCACACCCCTTCTCCCTGAACAAACCACCTTCCAACGTCCTTCTCGGTGTCGGATATGCCGGCTACATTCCACGTGCCGACCTTGACTCGGATCGATCTCCGGCGTGTGTACTCGGCTTTCCTTGCTCTAACCGCGCGTGAAAGTGACAGAACGTCGAGTCCTGACTTCTTAATTTCTTCCGTGTATTCGGCCTCGTGGCTCTTGTGCTCTGATGCGGATGACGGTTGCGATTTAGGACTCATGGTGTGTGATTGTCTGTGAAATCACAATATAAAGCTTCTTTGCCTCGCTTGGCTATGGTTGGAGGTTCAGTGGGGTAGCAGTATGTAGCGTGGTGTATGTATGAATGTGTGCGCTTGCGCGGCCTTTAATTCCGGCAAGGGAAAATAGGGTATGAGGGTTGCCGCAGTAGAAGAACGAAGCGGTAATGATTACCATAGGATAAATAGAAGGAATTGAGCGAATTGAGCGAATTAGGTATAATGCGACAATGGCTCATTTCATCAGGTGTCATCCCACCAAGGTTTAGAAGGATCGGATACTCATCACGCGGAATTTAGGGAAGGAATATGCTGAGACCAATCAGAAAGGAATCAAATATATGCCAGTACCCAATTAGCCTACATGAGGTTCAAAAGAGAAGAGGCGCAAGTAGAGAGTAAAGAGAAGGTAGAAAGTAGAGAAACGCCGGATAAGCGCGAAGGCGGAGCTGCCATGACGATATGCCCCAGCTCCTTCCTCGTGCACACTTCCAAGGGCTCCAACAGAAAATATGACTTCACGCAAACCGCGGAGACAGAACAATCACAATCCTGTCAACCTCACCGATAATGAATCTGACGCCCCATACTACTCCGACATGCAGCAACAACCTGCACCCCCGCTCCGCTCGAACGAAGAGCTCAACCTCTCTGTTATCCGCCGTCACAAGCCCTCAGTGACCTCCATCCTCTCACTCGCCCCCTACGCAGTTGTCTATATCTTCAGCCCCACGACAAAACAATGGGAAAAGAACGGAGTTGAAGGAACCCTGTTTGTGTGTCAGGAAACACAGGGTGAGCTGGGCGAAGATCGCTATACTGCCTTTGTGGTAAACCGCCGCGGGTTGGACAACTTCGATCTCCCCCTCACCGACGGGGAGAATGTCGAAATTACAGAGGAATATGTGATTCTCAAAGCCGAAGAAAGTGCCGAAGGCGAAGCTGGACAAAATGGCATCGCCGACCCCTTGCACCCCCAGAATTTGTCCAAGAACCAAACCGGCACGAACAACGTGCGCATCTACGGTCTCTGGATATACTCAGAGCCGCCGCCAAACTCCACCGCGGACAGTCGCACCATAAACGCCCAGATGATCCTCGAGTGTGCCACCCACGCGGGGGAGAGCATGAAGCTAGCTCGCGAACGTCTCGAGGCTATGCGCCAGAGTAGCTTGCACGCCGCAGCAATGGCAGCTTCCACACAGGCTCCCCCAATGGAGGAACTACAAGCCGGGGTGCCTATGGGACGTCATATTTCGCTGCAGGACATGTTTGGTCAGCAGCGCGCCCAGGACGATTCTTGGAGTGTGCGCGCACACCATCTAGGCCCCAATCAGCACCCGCAGCAATACCCACAGCAGTCCAGCTATCAACACATGGTGCCTCACCATCCTACTCCCCCACCGCAGCCGCAGTCTGATGTGCTAGGAGATCTATTCCGGAGAGCAGGACTAGCTCAACAAGGCAACATCAATGGGCAGGGGCAATAGAGTGCTGAATAGTTCCTTCGACCGTCAATCATTTGTACATGGCGTCTAGCTTTATGATTTATTGCATATTTGAATAGCTTTAGGCTCTTTGTCATTCGGATGGGAATAGGCGTGGCGTAGCGTCTCTTGAGATACCCGTTACAATCTGCGCCAAAGGCGAAATTCATTGTCTTTATGTAGTTCCTGTCTATTTCTATGCATAGATTGTAAAAGCCATAGCCTCGCCCTCAAGCCACAATCTGCCAAATCATCCCCGCCACTTTTCGTGCCATCACATCACTGTGTTCTATAAACTGTCAGCAAGCTACGCATCGCAGTCAAAGTCGATTGAAATCCACTTACTCAAACAGAAAGCATGCGGCAAACCCTCCTCACAAACAACCATAGTCGGTCCAGCCTGTCCTCCCTTCCGTCCACGCACCGCAACAATATCATCCCTCGTCTGATCAGCCACCCAGTGATCATTACGACCAAAATAAAAAAACAGCTTTACGATAGGCTCACGCGCCGATGCAGCACCCCAGACATCATCACTCCATTTATCCGAAGTGATAGTCCGCATTTCATCGGCAGCCATATGTCTAGCAACCGGCGAAGAGTGATTAGATAAACCCGAACCATAGCAAGAGAGAATATCACACATACAAAGCTTGTCGTACCCCACTCCGACTCTTCAAAAAAGCACACGTAGCGTCCAAAGCATGAGCAGGGGGATCGTTCATGACGAGCCGGACCACATATCGAAGAAGCGATGTCGGGAGCAGGAATGTAAGTAGTCGGGCGAAGAGACTGACCACCACCGCAAGATGGGGAATGATCAAAAGTAGAGTCTACATAGCCGAGCCGGGGTTAGCAATGACAGAAGAGAAGCACAAGTATCTGGCAAGAGGTGTATTATGTACCGTCAATTTCTGTCCTGAAGGCGACGCAGCGATATCCTTGACAGTCGGGAAGAGCATTGCTCCGCCGACGATATCGAAGGTGCTTTCTGGGCTCGCTTCGCGGTGTCGTCTTAGGATTTCCATGGCGATATATGCGCCAACGGAGTGTCCGATCAGGATGACTTTTTGTCTAGCTCCAGCATCCACGGTAGCTTTACCGTCACGATTGCCATTGCTTTCGTCTCCCATCAGGGCAGCGAGCTTTTCCCGAACAAAGCGTATCTGACCTTCTAGGTCGAGATCAACGCCATTGTTCGGTGACGGCGAGGGCTGGTGTTCATCAATCTCAAAGCCGCTGAGAGAAGAGCCGTAGATTTGGAATGATGGTAAGATTGGTGAATTTTCCTCTTTCTCGTCTAGATACTTCGAAAGTATAGAGAGGAATGGGTAGTAGTAGCCGATCAGACCCGGGTTGCCGGAGATGAAGAAGATTGTCGTCTTTTGGTCTGATGGAGAACCTGCGGTGGTGAGAAAGGTATTTGAGGTAATTTCGGATGCCATTTTTGTTTGGCTTGTCTCATAGGATCTGCTGTAGCGCGCTCTTATGTAGATTTCATCCAGGGTATATAGATGGCTACGGGGTCGTTGGGTTATCTGGCCTCAGTTAGTGGTTATCCAGGTGGAGATAAGACAATTGAAGGGGTATAATTACACGAATTGTACCCTTTTATTATGTATTTTTTGCGTATATGATGACTCTGGGGTCGTTGAATGAATTGCGCGGGATTGATAGGGAGGTGAAGTCGGATTTGGCTGGTGGACCCAAGCACTCTACATCTACGGAGTAGAGCCACCAATGCTAACCCCTCGACCATCCGAAAATATATGATACGTTTAGAAAAAAAAGTAGAAAAAGAAAAGAAAAAGAACCACGGAGAGAGATAATCCCGGGCTCTAGGGGTATTTTGATAGGGGTAGGTGTGCAGGCCGTATCTACGGCACTAGAGATAATTCCAGGTAACGAACACCATGAAAATGGCAGGATATTGCAACGACTCCATCCGCGGATGCATGGTCCTCCACTGGTCGATATCTAAGCCCGACCAGGAACATAAAAAGAATAGACACCGCAAGGCTAGATCCAATGCATTGCCCAGACGCCATGCCATGTACAACATTCAACTAGACGCTAGTTCAGGCCAGAGAAGACAAGACCATGGAAAACAGATGAGGGATACCTTGAAAAAAAGAAAAGGAGCAAGAAGAAAGGGCATCGCCCAAAGAACAGCAAGAGATGAAATATGGGAAATCCCGCAACCAAGTGTGGTATTTAGGTCATGAAAAAGGATAGTTAATTCAAAACGCCCGGCTTATGAGGTATTCATCCACCCTCGTTACCCTGGCTGTCGTCACGATTCTCCTTCTCGTAAATCTCGCTCGTCACCTCTGTGCGGGTTGTGTCAGTTTCTGAAATGGGCGATTTGGCCGTTGATCCAATGTTGATGGCGATTCTCTTAGGCGCCGCGCTGGTGACATTGTTTAACACACCCGGTGAGGCATTCTTATCTGTCAGTGATCCGGCAGATAAACTCTTTTTCCGATTCATGTTAAAGGCGCCAGAATTGCTGCTCGTTGAACTTCTTCGTTTAGGTCCCGCGGTAAGCTTGCTAAGCTCGTCGTCATCTTCTTCCTCACGGCGACGTTTCTCTGCAAGTCGCTCCGGAGGATTCTGTGTGGGTGGTGATGCAGGAACCTCAGTGGAAGTCTCGGTTGGACCGACCACTGGCTGTTGCCCTGCCCCTTCAGGTTTGGTGTCCATGATGTCCTCGTCGTCGTCATCTGGGTAGTCAACCAATGGTTTGACAACCGCAGAGGCGGATCCGCTTGGAGGTTCATCCGCAGTAGCCACACGGTTCTGTGCCCACTTCATCTTGTCTTGTCAGTCGTATTCTCAAATTGTCTCAATCCAAGTGCTACTACCTACCTCATCTTCATCATCGGACGTGTTGAAATAATCCTCTTCCGCGGGATCCATCTCTCTTGCACCCTGCCAGCGCTGGCCATTGAGAGGAATTCTCCGCGGAGCGTTACTTTCATCCTGACTGAACAGTGTCGCGTCGGCCTCGGCTCCGTAACCCTGCATCTGGTCATATCGAAGAATTAAGCTCTGGAAGGTATCAACATAAATGATGTTCTCGAGCTTCTCGCGATATTTTTCCACCACATGGAGGATAAAAGGCTTGATGTTTTCCCGTCTGATGAACTCAAAAAGTTCAAGACAAGCCGAGTTGAGCAAGTTGTCGCGAGGCATTGTCTCGTAGACGATGTCGAGAATCAACTCAAAAGTGTTATTGTGTGTCATGAGAGCTTGGTAGAAGGTATCTTGGAGGCTGATCAGGGTGCGGAAGAATTTGAGGGCGACTGTCGTCGGTATTAGCTACGGCTTCTGAGGAAAAGATGTATACTCACCGAGTTTGAGGTGTTTCTGGGGTGCCCGCAGAAGCTGTGCAACGCGAGGGGCGAGAGATTCACTCTGTATAGAGTTACGTGTGCGGAAGAGGTGTTGGCGGACGAAGAAGGTGAGGATTTCAACAAGATGCGAATAGAGGGTGACCTCTTGGAATGTCAAATCATTAACTAGACTCGAGATTAGCAAAGTCTGGACCAAAACAGAAGACCTCACCACTTACGGGCCGTGCGATTTGCAAGCTGTTTAAGCGGTTGGAAAAGCCGTTTTGAGGACTCGTCAAAATGTTGCTGGACAAATGCATCAGATAAAAGGCTGTTAGTGCGAAGTTTGAAGTAATCGGGTCCAGCCCGACCAAGCGGGTCCTGCATAGGAATCTGAGGATCAAGGAGAACCTTGATAGCATCAGCAAGTTGGTTCTTGACGCCAAGGTCGGCCTCCACATGAAGAAGGTCGATCAAGGTGTCTGTTAGTGGTGTCTTTTTCTCGTTGACGGCCTTGAGCATATAGCCTCTCATCATGACTGGATCGTGCTCCAACAGAATCACTAAGATATCAATGCCAGTCGTGCGCATAGCTGGATTCAAGTGCTTGATGGCGAACGCTATCACGGCGAACAAGCCATGGTTAATAAAATTGGCGAATAATTGGGCCCGCGAGGGTGCCTGCAAGTTTTTCGCGATGGAAGCACATTGGTGAAGAAACTGCACGGCATCATCCTTGCGCCTCTGGTCCGGATTTCTCGGGTCGAAAACTTGAAAGAGGTCTCGCAGGAAGGGCCCATTTCCTTGGATATGATTCACAATCTCCATTTGATTGAAGAATATCAGAGAATTGAGCACCGAAAACGTCGGGTCGTCCAAAATCCGAGCCAGCACCACGTCTTTTAGATATTGCAGCCTCCATGTACTCCGAATCTTGCGGCGAATGATCGGGTCCTTGATCGGTACGACTTCCTTGTATCGCGATTTGTCTGCAAGGTATTGTCGATGGTTCGCTTTATGTGTAGGGAATTCAGGGTCATCTGTTTTCGTCAGTATCAATTGCATTCGCCAGGGTGAAGCCGGGGAGAGCGTACATTCCAGAGCCCCGACCACTCCGAGGATAACATGATCGGCGACGACGGTTTCAATGATGGTGTTGTCATTGAGCAAGATGAGAGATTTCATGATGTTGCACAACCGATGCAAATCGATCAAGCTCTCCAGATCCTCAGCCATTGTCACTAGCGGTACCAATTTGGCGATGTACTCGTCGCGAATGATGTATTTGGATAGCGCATCCCGACCGCCCTGTGTCATGCTCGCAGCTCGTACAATCTGTTCGAGTTCGGGGAGGTTTCCAAGTTCGGGGGTCGGTAATACGATGGACTGGTAGTTATCGAGGTCGTCGGACAAAGCGTCATCTTAGAAAACAATTAGAGATGCCAGCTTCCAAACACGCGACAAACCTTACCAGCTGAAGTGAGCGTCAAGAGATGTTGTTGGACGGCATTGACAAAATCCCTTCGACGTGGTTAGCTGATGCGCGCAAAGATTTTTGTTGATTCCTCACCAGATGACCGCACAGCCTTCCGCCTCTTGGAAGCTCAGCGCCATATCCGTGCCATTCTGCTCGGTCCAAACAATCAAAGTCTCTGGATCGCGTGACAG